ATCGATGCATCGATACAAAAAGATTATTATTTAGACCCCTAAAACAGAATACAGGCCTCAAAGTGCTGTGAAGCAACGTGTATGTAATTTGGCTTTAGACAAAGAAAGTGAAATAAGTTCAACAGTTAAGACAGGCAAAGTTAAAATAAAGACTGGCCCTCTTGAAGCTCAGTATAACCTTCTAGTCTGACCAAAGGTCCAAATATTAGCAGATTACAGAGATCTTGGAGTGAGGCCTGCTGGAAGGCAGTGTGCAGCTCCTCAACTAGGGCTGGGCGATATGAAGAAAATCTAATATCACGATATATTTGGGCTATATCACAATACACAATATATATCAAGATTTGTTTATATTGCCTTCAAAAACAGAGTATAAAATTGCAGAGATATACTCATTCAAACTTTTGGTTTCAGTTTGTATTTTATTTTATTCTAACCAGCTCGAAGCTTTTCTGCCACATGATGTCTTTGGGTGTCAGCATTTCCCTTTAACAAGATCCCAGCAACAAAACAGGAAACAAAGCCACAACACACAATACTACATAAAATGGAAATTAAAAAGGATTCTTTTGTGCATACTAAAAAATTATGCGGAATGAAAAAAGAAATCTAAAATTACAAAAACAAAAGTGGAAATAATGTCCAAATATTAGAGCATTATTAGAACACATCCAAATTATTAGCATTGATCTTAACCTGCTGGGAATTTTAAAGAAGCACAAAAAGTTGGAAAATTGAGAACATTGCCAAGTTGAAGCCTGTAAAACCTCTGAACATCACATCACAGGTATTAGAGCATCTAAAAAAACATGTCAATAACGTCATAAATGGCGTGATTTCCCTTCATCGCTTCTTGTTTCTCTTATATGGTATTGTTTATTTTTAAACGAAATGGCCAACGTCGTCGGTTTCACAGCTGATTTATTGAACGTTTTAATTGGTGTGTGGGGAGACGCTGACATGCAGAGTTTACGGCATTCTTCAGTTTGCAGCAATTACTTTTTAGGTGGTGGCTACCTTTTGCAGCAATGGTTTTTCGGTCTTACAAATTAGCGCCTTTTGCTCGACGTCCTCGGCATGAAATCCAAAGCACTATCATATATTCCTGCACTGAAACACATGCTGTCGCCATATTTCGTTTGCTTTTTGCTGTAGTGGGCCAAAATATAATTCTCTTTGGAGGAGGGGTTTATGATGCATTCAAAATCTGTGGGAAAATTCAAACTCTCAGTGAAATAGATGCAGCCAGCTTAGCTTTGTCATGCAAATTTATACTCGATGGCTGCGATACAGTCATTTTAGGATTCAAAAGAATGTATCATCTGCTTAAACTTTAGCTATGGAAAGGATTGAGAATAAAACTCCTAAAATGTTGTATTTTTCTCTGCTTTGTGTTTTTAGAGCAAAACTACAGCGAGTCTCGGTATCATTTCCTTCATTCATCCGACGGGGAGGGCTGCGCTCAGATGCTGGTGGAGTATTCATCGTCGCGAGGCTACCGCAGCGAGGTCGACATGTTTGTGGCGCAGGCCGTCCTTCAGTAAGTGAACGGAGACAGCTGCGCTGTGGAGGAGAGGCTTCCTTTGTGTTTGTCTTCAGCTGAAGGATTTTCTTCTTTTACCTCTGACCTCCATGTGTTTTGTTTTTTTTAAATCATTCCTCTGTTTAATTTGCTTCATCCCTGATTCTGTCCTCCCTGTCCCTCTTCGCTGCAGGTTCCTCTGCCTAAAGAACAAAAACAGCGCTTCCGTGGTGTTCAGCACATACACAGAGAAACACCCGTCCATAGAGAGGGGCCCCCCCTTCGTCCAGCCTCTACTAAACTTTATCTGGTTTCTGCTGCTGGCAGTGGAAGGGTGAGACAAAGCTGCTGATTATCGAGCCTTTTGACAGTAAATAAAAACATTCACGTCCAGTAATTAAAGCCGTTTTGTCCTTTTTAGGGGTAAATTAACAGTTTTCACAGTGTTATGCGAGCAATATCAACCTTCCCTGAAGAGGGATCCCATGTATAATGAGGTGAGCAGCACTTTGAACTGCTATGTTAAACCTGAGTTTGTTTTATTGTTGATCTGATCTGATTTCTGCTGACTTCACAGTATCTGGACAGAATAGGACAGCTTTTCTTTGGGGTCCCGCCCAAACAGTCTCCTTCGTACGGTGGCCTGCTGGGTGAGTTCAACAGAGTTTCTGCCTTTGATTAAAAAGCTACTTTAACAGGCACAACATTTCAGGATTTAGTTCAAATATATTTGGATTAAAAAGCAGAAAAAAAAGAAAAGGATTATGTTTCATTTGAATAAAATGACCGACCAGATTAAAAATATGTCTTATAAAGGATATCATTTTAATATTTTGATAGCGGTTAGCCAGAGCGATTAGCAATTTAGGGTTTAACTACGTCGTGTTGATGCAGGGGGCTCATGTCCACCCAGGCCGCATAACTCTCCCTCAGTCGGATCATGCTTTCCTTCCCATCCCGCTGAATCCGATCGGAATGTTGGGCAAATTGTGCCAGGACGGGGGGGGGGGATCAATAAAACCTTGAGCTGACAATTTTGAAAATTGACACACTGACCATTAAAAATACAGGCAGAAGTAATTTGCTGCAACTTTTAAAGTTTGTTTTGCTGCAAACTGAGAATGTCAGGTTTTTAGAAGTCCGGCACACAGGAAAAAAAGAGGAAAAGGTAAGATGACACCAAAGGCTGGAGGGATTTTAGGAGTAAATAAACTGAGGATGAGTCAGGAAAGGTCCATGCTCAAAAAGACTGTGTTGTTCCGGGCCCTAGCAAAGCTGTCAGCTGGCCTGGTTCTGACTGATATGTTTAAACCACTTTATTAGTCCAATCAAAGGTTTATTAACGTGAATTGTTTCCTCGTAAACGTTGCCACTAATTCTATCATAGAATCGTTTTTTTCAATGTTTAGAAATAAGATTTAGTTTAATAACTTAATCCTAAAGTAAAGCTGAATTTGAAAGTTAGAATCCTGACAAGCACCTGGTTGATAATGAAATGGGAGGGAGAAGATCTACGTTATTAAAACATTTAATCGGGTTTCTCACCTCTAAAACTCACCTGGAAATAAGCAAATAATCAAAGGTTTGGTGTGAACTTCTTTTCAGTGGGCTTAAATAGTAAATCTGATGACTCCATTATTGTAATAATTGTCAACAAATTTAGTAATCTATTAATCGTTAACGGTAGTATAGAGACTAAAACCTTGAGCTGACAGATCGACCCGCTTATACCCCTTTCCCACTGGCTGAAAAACCAGTTTTCCCTGCTTTTAGTGGCAGTGGGAATACTGCCCCAAATCTCAGCTCTAATTGGCATGCTGTGGGAACACCAAACCCAGGTTGACCCGCTAAATTAGGTGATACCATTGAACACAGCGTACGGACGTCAACATACCGCGCCACTCGCTTCTGATCTAACAAGCGGAAACAATCTGTTTACATTCGGTAAACATGGAGCAGCTCTGGTTAGAGGGATTCAGAAAGATAATAATGATAAACAATAAAGAACACGGACTACACCCTGGCTTCCTTCCATGTTGCTCTCCATTGTTTACTTCCCTGAATTCTGACATCATCAATGCTAACCCAACATGATGATGTCACAAGAGATGCAGCCATGAGAGACAGAGGCAGCGCAGCTGCCAGCTAAGTGTTGTTTGCAGCGATTTTTAGCAGATTTTCATTGGGAAAGAGGCTTTAGAGCAGTAATTATACCAAAAATTGTAAAAATGTATATAAATAGTTAGCATTTAAGATAAAACTTTTCTATCTGTCAATCTCTTCTATCCAGAGCTCTAGACGTAGAAAAGTTTTAGTTTCACCTCATGTAATTTTGTTAAAAATCATCTTTAAGGAAACTTTTTCTATCTGATTATTAATTAATCAATCACAAAAATAATCAACAGATGAATCGATTAGCTAATTAATGTTAGTTGCATCTCTAGTGGGCCGATTAGGTCTCAGCTCACACAGATAAAGTTCTCAGGTCTTAGCCTTAAACTAATCAAAATCTCAGAAAAAGCAATCAAGTGAAATCTTAACCAAACATTCTTCCCTAAATGATCCAAAGCTTTATTTTGGGTTTGAACAATGATGACGTCGCTGTTTCCTTCCCTACTCCTCCTTAGAGTCCTTCACATAAGGCTGATAATGTGTCCTTCATTAAAGGATAGTTTTGGATAAAATCGTCTTTTTTTTAGGCGACAGTGAAGCTTTAATCTCAAATATTTTCTCTTTTTCTGGAGATAAGTTCATGTCTAAAACCTGGGAACTAAGCTGAGGACATTTCTTTATTCCTGAGGATATCTTAAAATGTGCAGCAGCTTCCCTGATGGAGTCAGAACACGGTGAGAAAAGGCCCATAGTTTACAGCTGCCTGGTCGCCTGTTTTCATCAGACGCAGCTGCTCTCCATCTAATGGTCACGGTCTTCTGGAATAAAACGTTGCACTGGATTTCATTTAACTCTTTATGATTCAAAATCTCAAAGAAATGCTTGAAGGTCATGAAGGAATCAACATTTACGTCTTTAAGCTCAGCCAGCAGATGGAGGAGTTTGTTTCCTGTAGAAACATTTCTGTTGGTCCCGTCAAGCTAAAGTAAACACAGGGAGGTCGACTGAGCCAGAATCATTAAAGGAACCTCCTATTTCGTTCCCTCAGTGCTGATAAAGTTAAAGCAAACAAAAACTGACCTTTTATGATTTCTATAAAAACATCAGTCGTTCTGTGGGAAAAAGCCCAAACACAAAGGTACCCAGTCCAAGTCAAACAGAGGAGTGTCCAGATTTACTGGTTAAACCCAGAAAGGAAACCTTTAAAACTGAAAACCAAATATGTCACTATGGTTTACATCTGAACGAGGACACGGAATAAAGAGAAGTGGAAGGTGGGGGAGTCTGAGAACGGCTGCATGTCGGTGGGGATTTGGAGGAAGTGTTGGGTCAGAAAAGCTGCAATGAGATTGTTTTTTTTGTTTTTGGGAATACATTTCAGTTTTTTACAAATAACTGCCTGATAGAGAAGTCAATGCGGAGCGCTAGACATTTCCCCCCGTCAGTCATTTTAAATAAGCCCCATTTACACTACCCTTTTGAAACCATGCCGAGGTCGGTCTGAGCACGCTAACCCAGATAACTGTTGAGTGTAAATTGCACGCACAACTAAACCAGAGTGCGCCAGACACAACCGAACCGCGCCAAACTGGTACTAGTTCACCAGTAGAGGTCGGCGCTGTCGAGTTCTGGCTTAGTTCTCAGATAAATAGCGCATTAGCAGACTGCTTCATCTCCTTACCTGTCAGCCTCCCGAAATTTCAAACATTCATAAAACTACCAGCTTCCCTTCCGTGCCTCCTGGTCTCCTGCTTAGGAATGGGGAGTCGTTTTGGGTTCTTTGTCAGCCTGCAATACCCGATACTGGGCTATGTCTCTGAAAGGGGGTCGTTAGGGGCAATTGTTGTCTTGGCTTCCCAGGCGAGATGTTTTGTTCCCTGCATGGGGGGGACAAAACAGGCTTTTTTCTCTCTTAGCATAAATGGTTTCCTCCACACCCCTTTCAAACCACCCGTCTTCTTTGTCTAAAATGTGAAGGCAGGCGGTTGACTGAATGAATGAGAATCTTTACCAGTATACTTCTTAACCTGTGTAGCAAGGCTAGAGCGCCATCCACTGGTGTAACAACAGTATTACTACAGGTTTGACTCATCCTCTGAGGTCAGGCGGTTTCTCTTTTGCTTTCTTCCCAATTCATCATCGTGTGGGTGTAGCCTAAATCAGGGGAAAGCATAAAAGCAACTTTAATCATCTCCATTTTTCTCATGAATCTAAGGCCCCGTCCACACGAAGTCAAAACGAACACGAAACGCTGATATTTTCCAAAACGTTTGTCGTAAAGACGGAGACGTAAAATAAATGTGATCGTCCACACGAGTGCATGAAAACGCTGCAAAATGTATGCCAGGCCTGTAAGTGGCGCTGTGGTGCCAAAGCAAAAATAAGCGGCGAAATGTTGGGCATGCGCACTAATATTTATACATGGTTGCCCTGCGGGTCCATTTTCGTGGTTGAGTCAAATTCAGGTGCTGAACTATGTCGTCGATATTGCTCTGTTCTTCCTGGAGATATTCCAGAAGAAGAAGATTCTGTTGTAAGCCCGACAGCAGGGTGAGTAGCATGAGCAGCAACCATTCAACACAGTACGGCGCATGCGTGTAAAAAAAAAATGCGGTTAGAGCTTAAAGATGGAAACGCAAAAACGGCGTTTCAGAATCTTCCCACTCTGAAGGCTTAATAAAAAAAAAGATCATTTACAGACCCCCGAAACGCCGGCTTCGTGTGGATGAGAGGCTGGTTTGGTGAAAAATTTGTGCGTTTAGGCCAGGGTTTGTCTTCGTGTGGACGGGGCCTAAAAACAAGCAGACTGTCTGATTGTTGATAAATGTTCTGCTATCAGCTGGAATCCTGATCAGTTCTTTGCATCCGGTAGGAAATCTGCTGAACAGCCTGATGGGCTCTGGGGAAGAAGACGACGGCGCCGAAGAGGCCCATGAGGACAGCAGCCCCATAGAACTGGACTGAGTCCCAACAACGTTACGAGAAGAACAAACACTCAGAGGAGGGAAACAAAAAGAAAAAAAATAAGAGGGAAGACCATCCCGCCTCCCTGCTGGTCCAGCAGGGTCCGGGCGAGGCGCTGCTCCACGTTTTAACAGGCGGATCCTTATTTGTTTGTTTTATTTTTGAGATAAAAAGTCTCATCATCCAAACAGTTCATTTCCAAACCAGAACCAAAAGAGCATCATTCCACCAAAACGCCGCTGTCAGCTCTGTCTGGACTGAACAAGCCAAACTGCAACCTCTCCTGCTGTGGAACTGAAAACATCTTTTCTCTTTTCATTGTTGTGGGTAGTTTGGGACTCCTGCTTGCTGTTTCACTTTGTTCCATCATCAGAGGACGCGTCCTCTCCCTGTAACGCCCTGCTGCGAGGAGACGGGAGGATCGGCGTCCGCCTGGGCGGCGATGGCTCAGCGTCGGGGTTTAGTGAGCTCACTACAGCGTTCAAAGGGTTCAGTCGGTCGGCCAAGATGGAGCCGCTGATGACTTTCTTTTCAACAACTATTCCGTTACGTCTCTTCTGTAAGATGTAAATTAAAACGCACTTATAGTCTCTGCTTTGTGTCGCCGTTTGGTCTGTTTGAATGAAGCTACGGAGGGAATTTTATTCTATTGTTGCAAGCAAAGATCATGTTTTGTAAACAGAAATAAAAACCATGTAATCCAGAAATAAAACTTTCAGATGAGGAAAAAGAATTTTATTTTTTATATTCAATTCTTTTTCATTTAATTAAGTATTAATTTCTGTTTTTTTTTTATTTATTTATTAAACCTGTCCCTTACTTGCAGCATTAATAGAACAAACTTCCCTCCATAGAGTGATGATGCACCTTGAATGCATCTTTAGTTGAAGTAACCATTATTTAATTTACATCTAACTTTTTTTTTTATGAATCAGCTGAGCCTCATGCCATCAACTTTTCTGAAACTCTATTTAAAGGAGTGCTGGAATTAAATGACTCCAGGATCAAAATAAAACACTAAAAATATGAATTAGTCATGAACTTGTGTTTTTTTTTTTTTTGTAATGGTTCATATCAGGTAAGGTTGGTGAGAAGAGATGTAAAAGAAGTTCTGCACCGAAGGAATAACCAACATCAATCACCATCTAGCTGTTCACTCTGAGACGCTGTAGCCACCAGATCTGCTTCCTGCCAGTGACGTTACGCTACATGATTGGCTGAACGCTGATGTATAACTTAGTGGTTGCCCAGACAACGATAACGCCACACATCTTCAGTGTGCTGAGTTATGAGCATCTGTAGTGTTAGCGTGTCTAATGACCGTGAAAATAACTCCTTTTGGTGAACAAATTAACTTTAAGACCATGATATAAAGAGCTGGGTAGCGCTGTGGTCAGCTGTGTTTAGTAGCTAACAGGTTAGCCTCTTTTAGCTCGTATCAACAACAACCGTTCGTTTTCTACAAGTAAAATACATGTTTTGTACGGAAGAGGATTTTGGCCACTGAAAAAAAAAACTTAACTGATTTTTACGTTTTATTTCAGTTTAGTATGGGAAAAAAAAGGCAGAATTCTGACTTTAATCTCAGAATTCTGACAATAAAAAAAGTCAGAATTCTGAGATTAAAGTGAGAATTTTGAGATTAAAGTGAGAATTAAAAAAAATAAAATTTAAAAATCAGTTAACCTTTTTTTTTTCCCCAGTGGCCCTAATCCTCTTCCGTACTTTTGTGTAAATCTCTTAAAAATAAATTTTTTAAGATGTTCCATTTGTCCTTCTCTGCCCTCAGATCTTAATAAAAAGAATCAAAATAAGCTGAGACTTTTTTTATCACCTTGTTAAAAAGCAGAGCTCAGTCTGTCTTAGAAGGCCAGACTTTCCTTCAAGACAATGATTGTTTTCTACTTTCTCCTACTTTAGATCACCAATGAAATGTAAAATAACAGCAAATATATGAAATATGTTGAGACTCCAGAAGAGATTTGATCCTTAAGAGCAGGCATCTCCAACGTCTGTCCTCAAGGGCCGCTGTCCTGCAGGTTTAAGAGGTTTCTCTGCTTTAGCACAGCTGATTCTGATGATTACAGTTCAGCAAAAGCCTGTTAATCAGCTATCGATGGAAATCAGCTGTGCTGGAGCAGGAACCTCTGAAACCTGCAAGACAGCGGCCCTCCAGGACCCACTTTGGAGATGTCTGCTTAGGAGGGTGCAACACACAGTTTGTCCAAATGGAGTTTCCATATGATGTCATTAGAAGGGGCAGGGCCCCAGGCAGATCAGGTACCTACATCAGCATTGACCCATGGATGGATCGTCAGCCTCATGGCTGCTCTGGTCTTTATGGGACTGAGGAAACCATTAGAAATGCTTTTATGCATTTAAATGTTTCAGAGTGTGGACTAAAGATGCAAAGACCAGAACACAAGTTTTACTTTACATTCAGTAAATTGTCTGAATCAGCTTTAATACCAATATTGGTCAGACTTGGAGCTCTGGGTCACATGAGTCGCCAAGATCTAAAGACTGATCTGACAAACTAAATGGTTTAATCTTTCTCATATTAAGCTAAAGATTGGTTAAAAACCATGCAGCGTGATTTGGGGTAAAATTGTCTTTTCTACTAAAAAAGTTCAAGTCTCGACTTCTAAGTCTTTTTTGTAAAAGTCCAAGTGTGAGGATTTGGATCATAAAATTAATGTGACTCGATTCTCCACCTGTTCAAAGTCAGATCTGGGATTTGGGGTCAGACTCGACTCAGAGCAAGAGGTCAAAGTTCATTCCTCTGCTCTGTAGCAAACACCTAGAGCAGCCTGTGTTACAAACAGGTGACCCCTTTAAACAAAAGAAATAACTCACAATGTGCAGAGAAATAACAGAAGACCTGACGCATGAAAATGAAGAAATTAAAGACGGACATTGTTTTTCAATCAGGCTCCAACAGAATGATGAAAATAATAAACTATTGAAACAGGCCAGGACTAAAACAACAGTTCCCCAAAAAAGACTGAAATCAATGTGACCAGAGAGACGTGTTAGATGAAGATGAGTTCGCTAATCAGCATCACAGGGCGTCTACAGCCGACTAATCAGTCAGTGGGCCTGTTTACAGGGCTGCAGGTGGTCACTGTGCCATTTTGATTTCAGAGGCTGCTTCCTCCAAGGACCCGGTCTGCCTGGAATGAGTCCTTCAAGGTCTTTGAAAATAAGGAGGCCACAAGAGTTTGACTTACTGATTCAAACAGGTCCGGCTTTCTCCGTCTTCAAACTTGGAAACCAAGTCCAGTGGATTGTTTTTTAGCTTTTTGGAATGACTATGACCTGGATGACTGAGAATCTTCACTTGCGTATTGGAATCTGAGCTTAGATCTCAGGTAAACCCTTTTACACAGGGACAGATTAAACCTTTCGATAAATAAATAATACCCGACAAATATCTGACTCAGTAACCATTAAAAACAATTATTTTCATTAGTTTCAGACGGAACTATTCACATTCTTCGATTATATTAAATTGCACTTCAGATATTCACCACTGTTTGGCGCCATTTCACCTTTTTCTGTGAGCACGGAGCAGCTGAGTTGCTTGGACTCGCAATGAATCATGGGATACCCAAGGTTACGGAGGACACAGGGGACCTGTTCTTCAAAACGGGCAAAATGAAGGCTTTGACGCCGCATTATGATGTAATCTGCTGATGAATGCGGCCTTGGGAGGAAGCAGCTGCTGGATATGAACTCGGCAATGGTGAACTCAACATGGACCAGAGGAATAAAAAAAAAAAAAAAAAAGAGTTCTCTCAGGAAATCAGAAAGAAAATGATAGAGCAGCATGTTAAAGCTAAAGGCTGTCAGGGAATCTCTAATCAGCCTGTGTTCCTCTGACTACAGCTGAACATTAATCAGAAAGTTAAGATCCACAGACTGCAGCCAACCTCCTGGACGAGGCTGCAGGGGGAAAAATAATGACGGTTATAAAACGAGGCGGATAACAGGAATGGAAACAAGGAGCATCAGTGTCGGATCGCAGCATCCATCAATGTTTGAGTCAAAGTGGACTTAATGAGAAACAACCAAGGAGGAACCAATGATGGAAAAAAAAAAAAAAAAGAGAGACTTAAATTTTCCAAAATGCATGTTGACAAGAAACAAAGCTTCTGGAGGAACGTCCCGTGGACTGAGGAGACAAACATGGAGCTTTTAGCTCTATGTTCAGACGGAAAAATGAAGCAGATCCAGAAAAAAATACCATCCCTACTGTGAAACATGGAGGAGGTTCTGTTATGCTCTGGGGCTGCTGTGCTTCATCTGAATCTAGAGTTAAATGCTGATGAGGAGGGGAACAGAATTCCTGCTGAGCGGAGCTCTGACTGATTACAGCGATTCAATTAAAAGGTTGGACCATAAATATCATTTAATCCAGACCTGTTACTTTTATTTTTATTCTCATATTCAGAATTAAAACTTCTGAAAGGACTTTAAATACGAAATTATTACAAACTGTTCAATAAATGATAATTATTTTTAATTCAGAGTAATTTTCATGTGAATGTGCTTTACTGGAGGCATCCATGTTTGTCAAAGAACACTACTGCCACCTACTGGTTAGTGACGTCACGGTGCGGTATCGGCTGTTGATCAAGTCCCAGTGCTGTATCTGGTGTTTGTCACAACGCGCTATTATCCAAGTCATCTTGAAAACATTCTTCTTCCAAATGTTGGCTACATATTACGGGTTTTTTCTCTGGCCAGAATTCGATGGCAAATCCTCCCTCTTCAAGTTGGCAATCCAACGACCAACCCGTCCGATTTTTTTCCAGTGTGTACATA